GTGCTACCTTATTGATTGCACATACTTACCTACATACATAGTATATACATAAGGTACAAATTTATCTGCATACTCTGTACTTTCATACATACTTACATACTTGTATATATGTAAATACATATTTAGCTGAATCTTCATTTGTTTACATACGGTTGGATATTTGTTATTGTACTCGTAAGCCACCTTCAAATTGATTAGCATTATCTGCTCTCGTCACGGCTTTGCAAATTTTCTCCTACATAAACCGAAATAGCTTGGTTTTTTTTTTTTTTTATATACACACATACCACACAGTTGATCTTGCTAATTTATATCCACTTAAAAAAGCATTGTAACTTTCACAAATTTTTGGGTGTCATCTATTAGAAGTTGTTTGAAAATTTTCACTTATGCCACCCACGCGTAGTATTTAACCAAATAAGGCGATTTCTGCAAAATTTATAATATTTACATAAGTTTCATTTCACTCATGCACTTATTTGGGTTGTGATAGTTCAACTTTAATAATTTAACTTTTACGTAATGTTAATTTTCTAGCGAATGATTAGCTTGCTAGTTAGCTCTCTTATTTTTTTTTGTTTTTAATGAAGAGACAATGCCTTTTATTAAAATTAGCTTAGCCTACTGCACTGATAGCTGATTATTACCGCAAAAAATGCAGCTCTTTTTCTTGTTTTTGAGATTTATGAGTATGTTTACATGTATGTATCTGTGTTTTATTGACATTTTTAATTCGAGCAATAAACCGTTCAGCCGGGTTCAGTAAACCATCTCTCGCATGCAATTCGATGTGACAATGAAAAAAGTGTTATAGTCAATTGCCAATTGCAAAAGAAGTTATGTTTCCGGGTGATTCTTTCAACAAGTCTTTCGTTTTACAATGCTTTGCAATTACCGTAATATCTGCCGTTGCGTAATTAATTATCGTTTAGTTTGTTTCAATTTCCTGTATCGACATTTTGCGAGATTTTTTAGTGTGACTTTTATTGGATTTGGATTGCGCAAAATTGCAAAATTGAGAAAGGCTGAATCAAAGCTTTTGGCAAAGAAAAGTACGGTTGATTAAAGAGTCCTTTTAGTGAAGACATGTCACGAAATTAAGGCTTTCCTAGAAGAAATTTAGTTCTATTCAATATTCATATCGTTATCAAAATACATAAGTATACTATATAGATAGGAGCCGAATGAAATGAATAAGCCTTTAGGAGGTTTTTAGCGATATCTTGGAGTTAAAGCCCTTTCCTATGAATTCTTCTTCTTTTTGCATATTAGTTAGCTTGGGATAAATTTCAGTTGTATTCGAAGTTGATAAAGCTTTATTAAGAAGCAAGACTTCAGCCGGGTTCGAACTAAGAAACATTATTTTCGCAGTAAATCAGAGGAAGATTGTGGAAGATTGAAAAGCTTAGCAAAAGGTTCCATAAAGTTTTCGCAATATTTGGTAGAATTTTGTTTTTTCTAGTTTCTTGAAGATTTATACGTTGTGAAAGTAGGTATAGTCAGCAACCAGTAAGTGCTTGGAAGCATAATAGATCCTTAGACAGGCCAGATTCTTCGATAGAAAGGATATTATTATATTAAATACTAGGTTATTCTGGGTTTTGACGACCACTGCACCTGAGTGGGTTCAATCCCTCCCGCTGAGTAACATCTAGAAAACTGTGGCTGTGTTGGTGAGCACAAGAGAACTGCTCCGCATGAGCAGCCCGATAGGAAATATAAAATATTTTATATATGCCTAGCATGATGGCACCTTTCGACCGTTTCTCGTTCCATTTCATCCACATATGTATGTAAGTACCGTATTGCTGTGAGTGGTTAGACTAGTCCACTTATTACTTGCTTTTTTAAGAGATGGATCCCTTAAAAAGAGCTCGCAGGTAGCGAACAGCCTGGCCAAACCTTTCCAGTACTGCAAAAGTGGAACGTCCATGCCCTCTATTGCAAGTGCGTCCGTCTTCTCGTCGGCTGGCACGTTCTGGTTCCAATAATGCAATAATAAAGTTCAGACTACTTACCCATCTCGTTTAGGGATCTGGAGTAGTCGTGTGTGTTGAGACTCGCACTAAGCACAGTTTTAATAAACAAAATCTAAAAATCCGTCATACTTGCAAATAAAATATATGTACATTAGGGTGGTCCTTAACTCTAGAAAGCAAATTTTTACATCAGATTTCCTAAGCCTCAACCCCTACGTCGATTCTATATATCCAATCAATCGGTACCAAAACTGATATGTCGTTCATTTGATTTTAAAGACCACCTTAATGTACCTGCATACATACAGTGTTCAAAAAAATGACCACGTGTTGATTTTTTTTCAAATATTCGTAATGTATTTTTGAGCTAAATTTTTTTGTTTGTTATTTTTCTATAAAAATATCGCTTTAACCAAAGCCGTATAAATCATAGTTTCAAACTTCATACAAAATTTAGGAAAATTCAATCGCGTTGATTTTGGAGAATTTTTTTTGGAGGCTACTTTTCGGCTTTTTTAATATAACAAGTGCAATTTACAAAAACTGGCGGTTGATATTTTGAAATTTTGTTGCTAACGTTCTCCCGCGTTTCATTTCATAAGAAATTCATGCTTATAAGGAAAAAAGTGCAAAAATCCGTCACAAAAAGAAAATCTCAAAAATCAACGCGATTTTTTAGCCATTTGAAACTTGCCTTCATTAGACTTAAATTGTATGGTCTATAAAACTGCACACCCAAAAATTCCGCATAAAAATTTTGATGAAAATTTGTAGAATTTTCCTAAATTTTGTATAAAGTTTGAATACGGGTTTGATTAAAGCTTAGACGATATTTTTATAGAAAAATAACAAAAAAAATTTAGCTCGAAAAACATTACGAATATTTGAAGAAAATCAACACGTGGTCATTTGTTTGAGCCACAGTATGTATATGTATCTCCAATCTTAATCTATCTACTACGGTTGAGAAATTAAAGAGCTAACAACAATTTTGTAATTTTGCATTCACAATTTACACATATTTATTCGCTTGTATACATATTTACAAACAAACTCAGGCGAATCAGTCGCATAAAATGTAGTTAGCTAATTAAAATTAAACCGTTTACATATGCAGGTACATAAGTATGCTTATATTTGCATAAAATAAGTCTGACATAAGCGATTTTGCGCACACGCTATTACTAGCTCGATATTTACTTACATACGTATGTATGTATGTATATACTTTCATATGTATGAATGTATGCCTGTATCTACGATCATCCAGCATTCATTCGTAGCAAAAGCGTTCATTGAACTTTAAATTAAGAGACCACATTTTTCATTTCGTTTGCTATGCTATGTTACATATCATTAAGAAAGCAAACCGGTATTAAAATTGACCCTTACCTTCAATATTCTGGATAGTATTGGCGATTCATCGTACTTTTTGGCTAATTCGACGACCTGTAGTTTGGCCACTTAATTTTTCGATCAACTACTAGACATCCACATTTATGTATGTATGTATTTATGTACATACGTGACGAGCAAAGGTGCTTCAACTGTTTTCTTTCGCCAATCTGCTTTGATCTGCAGATCAAACGTCGTATGGACATACATATATACATATGTGTATGTATTACTTACTTAAATGTGCGTATGTAAGCATTTCGGCTTATCTTTGTTTAGTTTTTGCTTCTAAGCAATTTTAATTTTTTAACGCCATTTTACCTGCCTTGCGGCTATAAGCAAGCAAACATACAGTAGAATGGTTCGAAAAAGTTCAAAGACCTTATTGAATATTTTAAAATGCTTATTAATGTTTAGAGAAAGAATACAAATGCTTACAATACCAGCTTCTTTCAATTGGAGCCCCTTTTTTATTTCATTAGTTATTCATATGTGAAAATATGCATATTCATGGAGTTACATGGAGTGGAAAGGAAGGAATCATAACAAAAACAAATATTGAAATATATTTGGCTCACTAAAAATATGCGCTGTAATTAATTAAAAAAATATGTGTGTGACAAAAGAACTTAAATATAAAAATATACAATTTATTTAAAAATCGCGCCATATGTATGCATGTATGTACTTATGTATTTTCAGCAGAACTCCCTTAATGTATTTAAGCTGACTTCAAAAGTGGCACGTGAAAATCACTTCATTTAGTTTTTCGCCCCAAAAACCTAAATAGTTCTATAGTATTGGCTTTAGAGTTTCATCTAAAAAATTACAGAATGTTATATCTTTGTTTTTTTCTCTGTCTACAATAATTTGAATTTTTTTTTTACACAGAAGTTGGGTAAAATGCGTACATTGCAAATTTACAAATGTAGAGTGCACCCCATAATACTATACTTACATATTGCGTGATACTCAGAGCTACCATTGTGATTTTTTGAAATTTTTTTGAGATGGTATATTTTCAAAAAAAAAAACTATTTTTTTTAATAAAAAAATTTGTATGTGAAAAATTTTTCAAGAAAAAATTTTAAAAATATTTCTTTTCATCGAGAATTTTTTTTGATTTTTTTCAAATTTTTTGCTAGCTCCGCTCTCGAGATATTTGTTTTTGTGCTGTAAAGTCTTTAAAAATGTATTAATCAAGCTCAAATTACATATTTATTTATTATTTATGTTTGTGCATCAACCCTAAAAATTTGAAACGAATCAAACACATGAAGTGTGAACCCCGTTCGTTTGGTGTGGAACGTCCCATATACTTATTTGCTCCTTCGTTCAGGATGGCGAGCTTGTTAATTTTAGAAACCATGGGCCGTATGGAAAAACTAAGCAATTACTTTTCTTAAAACTTCACACCCTTTACTTAAATTTATTTGAATAAATCGAGTCTGAAATTTTAAGAAAAATATAAAAAAAAAACAAAAAAAAAATATTAAAATTAAAAAAAATAAAACGCAATTGCTTAGTTTTTATTCACACGGCCCCATATTTTTCCTATGTATGTACATAGTTAAATAACAAATTTAACTAAGAAATGTTTGTATGTATTTTTTACTTATTTCCCAGATCCGTTGAACTCATCGCTATATTGGCCATATCCTGCACATTTTTCCTTTTTATGCATACAAATAAATTAAATAGTCGCCTCAAGGAGATGGAAGTGAAATTACAACCATCGGAATTTTCAGCACTCGGCTTAACTGGTAATCACATCAATTCAAGAGAATCAAGTGAGTATCTGATGCATGTAATGTTTATTAAAAAAAGAGATTTTTCGCGACTACATATAAATGCTAATTACCAAAAATTAAACAGATTTTAAAAGCTTTGTAAACTCATTTTTGTAAAATATTTCATATAAAGAATTTAACATCAATATAATTTTTAAAGAATGCGAGTACCATTTATAAGAATATTTAGGTAGTTAAGCCAGTTTTAAATAAAATTCAGATTGTGACTAAAATTTAAATTAAGATTGAGATTAAAATTTAGGTTGAGATTGATACACATAAAACTTTTCTTTAATTGTAGTATTAATTTAAATTAGAGTAGCTGACCTTAACTTAATTACACCACCTTTTCTTCCCTATTTCAGGACGTGATAATATCAATACACTTCATGGCACATATCAATACCTAAAAAGTACTGGCCAGGTAAGTTTTATGTTTTATAAAAAAATTTATTTTGCTTATTCATCGAAACCATTGCATTGAATCGCCGTCGTTAGTGTTATGAGTACATTTCAACATTTCATGGTGTCATGGTTTTTGAAACATTATATCTTGGTTCCAGTTCGTTGATCTATCTCATATATAGTCCATTCGACATCGGTAACTTTATAGTGCTTGTATTGAGTGCGCGTTGCTTTATTCTGAAAATTCAACTGCATTCTAATCGACAAAATACATTAACTCATATTCTCGATTACGACATCGTTTTCGGGTGCATGCGACTGTCATAACTGCGATTGGAATACGTCACAAAGCACTTACTAAGAAGGAGAAGTGTGAATTAACAGCCTGAGAATACCCTGCAATTAAGTGAAGTGATATAGAAAAAAAAATACTGATTTGTGGAGAAGATATGTTTTTTTAAAAGTCAATAAATAAGTAAGTGTTTTAATAGAATTTGGTAAATATGCTTAGGACAAAAACGACTAAAAACTTTTTATCGATGATTTCTAAATAAGTAAAGCTTAAATTTTTCTTTCATAGTATCAAACAAAGACTTGACTAACAGTTAATAACAATAAAATGAGGAGAAAGATATTGTGATTTCAAATAGATATAAATGTGTATACATTTGTATTCCTACAGAAAATAAAACACTATTTTAGAATATTGCCCCGCAAAAGTGCGCTTGAAAAACTCAGGCATCAGTTACTTCCTTCTGAGACCCATTTTTGCAAGCTGCATGAAGAGTAAATGGTACATCGTCCATCGGCATCTTGTCTCACAAATGGGTTTACTTCCTCGCAAACCCCTAAAGCAACATAAATACATATACATACATACATACCACATACATACAAGCCATAAAAAATTAGTAGATAGAACACATAAACATAAAACCATAAATACCATACAAATTAGGTTTCCTACAAGCCACATAAACACATACTTACATAAATACATACATACATACATACATACATAGCAACATAGAGTAAAACCCATTGAAGCCGATTGCTAGAAATTCGCCACTATAATTCTCTACCATCTCTCTCCTTTTGGCCATTGGTCTAGAAACTCTTTATGAATACTACTATCTGATCTGTCTCTTGGCCTCTCTTTAGACTCTATTATACCTACATATTTAGTCTATGCCTTTGCATGCCTTTGGCCGCTAACTAACCTTTTAACTTTGTGTCAGGGACTTCTATTATTTTGAAAGGAACGAAAAGTTATAGGGAAGCGAAATTGAAAACAAAATAGTAATTTGAAAATAATTGTTTATGATTTTAATCACAAAAAACATACAGGTACAGTCAAATGTATTTTTAAGTAAGCTGCATTTATGTACTAAGTATGTAAGTGACTTCAAGGTAAAATAAATCTAGTTGACAAAAAAATTTGAAAGCAATTGCAATTATAAATTGGTTTTACATTGAGCTTGAACAAGTGCAGAAAAAATTTTTATTAATTTTGAGTAAATATTTCTTGGGTATTTTTTCAAAAGCGAAATTACATATATGTAGCACAAACTCTGCAAATAAAATGCGAGTATATGCAATGGGATTCATAATATGTAAGAAATAAAAATACTAAAAGCAATAAAGTCGGAGTCTATGTTAAGCAAATGTACATATGTACATACATATGTATATGGGTCAATCCATGTGAGATCGACCAATGGTTGGAATTTATTTGGATGAATTTTGGTCAGAACTTTTCTGTTATCATGTAACAAAGTTCTGCCAAAGTAAAAAAATTACTAAAAAACTCTAAACTTGAAAATTTCCGGGATTTAGCAAGTTTATTTTTTGAATAAACATTTCAATAACTATTAAAGGTACAAAAGTGGTTCTGGTCTCGTTTTAGGCTTGCAAAGAAGAGATATATAAAAGACATAAATAAAAAAAAAACTGAATTTATAAATTTAAAAAAATTTATAAAAATTTGAGGTGAAAATTTTTTTATTCAATACTAGAACTTTGATATTACAAAAAATCGTAAGAGCAAAAACTTATACAATTTTACAATACCTCAAAGTGATCCTGAAATTGTCAAGGTGTTTTTTTAAAGATATGTATTTGTGAACTTAAAAATTTTTTTTTTTTTTTAAATTATAGATAAAATTATGTTAGGAAATTATTATTTAATTTAAATTTATTCTCAATGTAGAGTTTGCAATACTTTTTTTTAAGTTTCATAAATTATATCTTAAAAAAATACCTTACTGAAAATTTCAGGAACTTTTAAGATGAGTTAGAGGTATTGTATACAAAAAAAATTTGAGTCAAAAATTTATGTACATAAATATGTACGTTTTTGTATCTACGATTTTATAGATTTAAAAATTTTTAATTATTTTTTTTTAATTTTTTTGGATTTTTTTTGTTTATAAAACGCGCCCACCACCATTTTTTAGACAATAATATTTTTTGAGATATTCAAAAAATATATTTGCGAAATCTGGGAAATTGTGAAATTTAGAACTTTCGAAAATATTTTTAAAATTTTTTTTTGCTTTGGTAGAACTTCGCTTAATGATTTTAAAGAAAAGTTCTGACGAAAAGTCATCCAAATCAAAAATGGTCGATTACAACCATCGGTCAATTTGGCTTAATTTCACCCTTAAAAAATGTAGGACCGTAAAAAAATGTTCAGCCGACTCGCATACGATTTAAGTTACGTTACATTTGAACGTTATAAATCTTTGTGGAAAATCTGTAAGAGATTGTTGGAGTGGCAAGAAATCGAAGTTTCGGAGGACCGAAAATCTACATATTTTCCAAGTGCTCAGGCACAGTTGTTCATTGTACTTCAGAGCCTGGAAAAGAATAAAACGGGGAGGGGAAAGCGGGTGGGCGTGAGGAATCATTACTAACTCTGCACACATAGGTACTGCAGGATCTTTGATGAATCTTAGTGGTTAGTCAAGTTAAAGACAAGGTAGCTAATCCATTCTCAAAACGACAAAGGAATCAAAAGGAAAATTTTGAAAAAAAAATGTCGCTTACGCTACGCAGTCTAAAATTTTGATGACATTTTTTTTTTTTATTTCCCTAAATTTTCCTGAACTGTACACAAAGTTTCAAACTTTGACTTACATGGTTTATGTTATATAATCTACTATATTTTTTTTATAAAAAATTAGCGAAAAAAATGTATCACGTAAAAATTTGTGAATATTGCAAAAAATAAAAGTGTGCTATTTAGGTGAGCGCCACTGTATGTAAACGTAATAAGTTTCGCAGCCAGTGTAACCGCTCATCACCAAAAGTTGTACATCACCATGACCTTGTTCTTGGTGTATAGCATTTGCGCATTTTCAAGATCGTCTGCTAAAAAGGTTTGGCATAAGCATTGAGCAAGTTACCACTTATTACTTACATAGATATTTGTATTTATGTACATATCCATATTTACTTTATATGAATGCTTGTAAATACTCACCGTTGGTAGTTCTATGGCATCTTGAATATCGCGTGTCATTGTCTCCAAAGTTGCTTCTTTTTGCGTCGTTGTCTTCACTGTTGCTGTGGCTTTGCCGCAAACTTTTCCGGTTGAATGATCGGCAATGCATTTTTTGTTTAGTTTTGCGCTTGCAAAATTGTGCAAACATAAATATGCGTCGTACAGGTAAAATATAAGTTTGTGCATTGATATGCTGAAGCTTGTGTCATTGAATATTTTATTACTAATATAAAATGCTGGGACTACAAATATGCAGTTGTAAAAAGCTATTAAAAAGGTTATCTTAAAATTTATACTACTTAATACATATGTATGTATGTCCATCCATATTTACCATGATTCAATAATAGTTACAAGGTTCGATAAACTGACAGTTGTCTCTCTCGCTCCGCTCCCTTAGCAGTGGCACCGTGTTGCTTCTTTGCAATTTTACATGGAAACAGTGTAGCTTTGGTGTGAAATAAAAGTATAAGCTTTTGTGCAATATGTTTATTTGTATATGCATATGAAGCATATTTAACTGATGAAAACATAAGCATTGGACGTTTACATCAATCTCATAGTAGTCTTATTTTAATTTTGAGTCATTTTGCAGTTTTTATACAGCTAAATAGCACATAAATTACGTAATTCACGTAGATATATCAATATTACGTTCAACATTTCGTTTAAAATGCCAGATTTCCTGCAAAAACATTAGAATTTACAAAAGGAAATTCACTACTAATTGCCTAATTTGCGTACTTTTCTACTACTATTTTCGCAACAAGGGATTGCATTCTTGCCCTTTCTATGTCCTTCGTAAATGCAACCTTTTGTAAGGGAATGTCAAACTGCAGCTGTCAATAATTATCTAACCTTGTATTATGGAATCATGCATATTTACAAGGAATGCACGTATTTAGGTAAATAATGAAATAAGGAAATGAATTCTGATGGCCGCTGTAGCCCAGTGGTTAGAGGAGCGTGCTCAACCAATTTTTATAATAGGTCCATTCCTTATCTTTTCTGACTAAAATCTGAAAAGTGTCAAAATGCAAGAGCGTAAGCAAAATGCGCTCACTAAAAGAGAATAACAGGAAAAAGTAAAGGAACGTAAAAAACCAAATTTTTAGTCCAAAGAATGGCAACAACAAAACTAATGTCAAATAAGAATAGAAATGTATGTACAAAACACATTCACACAAGCAAAAGCACAATAAACACTTACTACATCATTAATTTTTTGTCTCCTTCCATTTTCAATTCACTTTTTTTTTATTTTTTATATATATTCTCACTTTTCGTGTATTCTTTAATTTCGTTCAGTGGCGGATCCAGCGGGGGGTTTTCGGGGGTTAAACTACGTGTCAGTCCTTGACGGACCCACGGGGGTGTTTAAATGCATATGCGCCATATTAAAACACCGCCCGTGGGTGCGCTACTGACTGACACGTAGTTTAACCTCCAAAAACCACCCGCTGGATCCGCCACTGATTTCCGTTAACTTAAATTCAGTTGAATTTCACACTTTTCAAGATATTGGCCGCAAAAATTCTTCTGACTAAAGGTTTGTTCCACACAAGGTTTGTTTACATCCGATAGCGAATTTTGTAAAATACAAAAATGGAAAATAGCACTAAAGGTTCAGAAATGTAGGTACTTGCTAATTTTATTAGCTATATAAGATATATACACATACAATTATTGTTTAGAACTGATTTTTTGATTCCGCGCACGAAAAGTGGTTTTTTTGCGTTCCTCACGCTCTGGGCACTTTTGGCACGGGTTGACACTCTTTTGACACTTGTGAGAGAGTAACTTATTTTTAGGCTCTAATTACCGAAACAACCCGGAAAGCGTGTGGAACAAACTTTAAATCTGACTACTTCGGACTGAAGAGAGTCACAGTTGCTCTCTCATTTCTGCTGTCATTTTCAAGTAAGGAAACGCTTTTTGAACTAAATATGACTTCGGACTATTTCTGGGATATAAGAAACGTAACTACATAATATTAAGTTCAGACGGAAATTTTATTGAGTCAATTCATCTTTTAATTGAGCTACCGCTCGATTAGCTACAGCCATGGAAAAGTTGGTACAATCGTACTTTTATTTATTTTGAAAGTACATTCGGTACAAACCCGCCATTTAAGTAGTTATTCTCTGTTCTCTTAAGCTTCTCGGCGGTAATAATGGTGTAGCTGAGTTCTAGAATTTTATCTCTGAGCATATTCCTTAAAATTGTGTTTCGAAAAAAATCAAATTTGTTTTGTGTAAAATAAAATATATTCCTAAACATAATCTGTAAACTGAGCGGCTATATGCCGATAATCGAGCGCAATTGTTTAAACTCTGGATGACTACATTTCAAATAAAAATCTTCCTTAATGTTATGTTTGTACTAAATGGTCCAGAAATTAAGTAATTTTAAGCAAGACAACGTCTTTTGGAAGCTTCGGCATCTTTGAAAAGTGGGTCCTTGTACTAATAATTTCATAAATAATTTGCTCATTCACGTTCGAGGATTTTGATGTGTACGACCCAGAATTGGGCAAAAAAATTTGGTGGGTACCACGAAGCACCTACTTAGGTCAAATTAATTTCTAAGTTTGCTTTAATTTTTTTACACTTTGTTTAAACTAAGTAATGATTGAATATCGTTTTCCGGCCATATGCGGTTAAATTTTGGTATAAGTACAACATACAGTGAGTGAGACAAATAAGACATACATACATACTATCTTTGAAATATCCGGACTAAATATTTTGTTTTGCAAAAATTTTTAAGTACCAACAACATAAAAGAGGTAAGTATTGCTCTTTAATTGTTTAAACATAAACCTTTTGGCGTAATGTGAACAGTTGTGAATAAATTAAAAAAAAAAGACGACTCAAATACCAGCTAATGAAATCTTTTTGGCAATTCTTAAAAAATACTGAATGCAAAGTTAATTGCGTAAGCTTCTACCTGATTGGGGAAAATGTTGCGCTTGGATTAATTTCTTTTTATTGCTGCTTGAACTTAACTATTACTATAAATCAAAGCCTGATCTTTTTCTCTATACTACTAAGTATGTGCTATACGGTACCTAAAAGGTGAAAAGGTGCCAAGTCCACTTTTTTTCAAAATTTAGTTTTTGATGCAGATGGATAATGCCAAACTCCAGCGATTTTTCGTCTCTCCTGAATAATTTCAAAAAAATGGACTTGGCACCTTTTCCCCTTTAGGTAACGATATATGTATGTATGTAAATTATTATCATCATATCAGTGGTAGGAATGCATACATAATTATACACTCCCAAACATACATACATACATATGTAGTACAAATTGTAAGTCTTCCATTCCGTTTGTCTTCACTTCGTTACTGTGACAGCTACAATATCTAACACCAGAAAGTGTCAATACAACAACAAAAGCACAAGTAGGAATTGTCGTATTCAATCGTGTACCCAAAGTGGGTAGTCAAACATTGATGGGCCTCTTGAGATTCCTTGGCAAACGTAATGGATTCGAAGCGCGTCGCGATAAACCCTCCTTAATGGAGACTGTACTGGTCACACCTGCTTTTGAATTAGCGCTAGCCGATGAGATAATGGAGAAAGGAGCACCAACATCATATTCAAAACATGTGGCATTCATAGATTTTGGCCGCTTAGATTTGCCATGGCCCATTTATATAAATCTTGTGCGTCATCCGGTAGAACGTTTAATTAGTTGGTTTTACTATGTGCGAGCGCCTTGGTACATTGTGGAGCGTAAACAGAATTTCCCCAAACAATATAAGGTACCGAGCATAGCGTGGTTGAAGAAAACTTTCGACACATGCATTTTGGAACATGATGCGGAGTGTATTTTTGAGCAGGGCGACGATCGAGGTCTGGGTGATCATCGCCGTCAAATGCTATTCTTTTGTGGGCAAAATAAAGAATTGTGTATGTGAGTAAATTGTTTAAATAGAAGTATTTCTGTGGATAAATAAATGGGCTTGGCTATTGTAAAAGGAGGCCAAGGAATACATGAATATAGAACATCAAAAAAAAAAAAAAAATTGTAACCGCCGATCATTCAAGCCTTCTTTCGAAAAGTTTAAGGCAGCACAAATGTAGCAAATTTATTTTAGCCATTAATTTAAAGAGTTTACACGAGGGTACAGCAATAAGTTCATGACTTCTCGATTGCTTGATAACATTGAAAATTGAAAAAACTTGCTTTATGGTGTTTTATGACCAAAGTTTTAAAGTGATGTGTGTTTGTAGTAAATATGTAGCAGACAAGGCCTTATAGGCATTAAGCCGAGCTTCATCGGACAAGTTAAAACGTAGGAACCCAAGTGCCTAACCATCAATCTAGTAAAAGCTGAACAGTCTTAGTGGAGGCGCTGAGATGAGTACCTCGTCGTACTCAATGCAGCTGTGACAGAAGTGGTCAGGCGAGGCAGTGGCACACACACCAGAATCGAGAGATCGGATTTTTCCAGCCAAAGGCGATCCATAAACCGTCTTCGGTCCGTCCTCGGCTAGTATGAGCTCGCAGTAGAACATGTCCGGGTTTTCCTACAGCGTTAGCTGAGTTGACCCGAGCCCATATTTCCAAGAGAAGTCCACAATTAGTCCATTTTATCTTTTCTTGGCGATTTTATTTATCTCTAGGGTGCCGCCTTTGGCCAGTTCATCATCCACATAGTTTCCTGTAATAGGTATTTGTATGCCATAGCGTCAAGTTAATATACTCACGAGACCGATATTGAATTAGGGCCTTCCGCAACAAGCTTTGAGCGTTCCGTAAGTGAGCCTAGGGGTCTTATTGACACCTGGCTATCTAAGTAGATGCTAAACTCCCTTTCTGTTATCGTGCACAATAGCAGCCAATCCAGTGCCAATAGCAGCAACTTCCGCCAGAGTAACATTACCGACCCTTCCGAAAAGTTTCGACCCAACCGTGTAAAAGTTCACCGGTGCATGCATTCAACCCCAGTCCTCCGCCCGTTCATCCCTTAATGGGATCTGTGAGGAAAAGGAGCTAGCTGGTGCCAGGCTAGTCAGGCAGTGATCCGCATTGTCAGGGATGAAATCCAAGCCAATCCAAATGATTGCCAATATTGCTGCTGTTGCTTTACCTGTGACTCGACAGGCGATATTATAAGCTTAACTTTAATTGTCCGACTGATTGAAATGAGGGCAGCTCGTGGTGTCGATCCAACATATTAACTAACGTAGTCTTCTCCAGTGCATGCCACCAGACGAGGACTTCATAGAGTCAGGAAATAACGTTGGCCTCATCTCTTGCCTATTGTCCCTATGCAGCTGTATAGAGCCCTAGAAGCATTCCTTGCACTCTCCTCGATATTAGGCCTCCTATCAGGAATCAAGCCCAGTCACTAGGTTGAAGTACCTTTGAGTTAAGCCGTAGAGCGTATGCAAAAATATGCGCGTCACTGAAACTGCCACATCCTCCGCATGCATACCTGTATCCTTGAAACGGCATAAATATATAATGGCTGCTAGTATGCCAACATACTGGATGGGTTCAAGGAAGAACAATATACGACCGCATTTGGCCAAAAAAAAGTTTTGAGGGCAAGCAAAGATTTAATAAGTATTGGACACAGTGCACAGAGGTCAAAGTAAGCTATGTTGAAAAATGAATCGTTGTTAAACAACAGTCTTTCATTGAAAAGTCATGAACTTATTGATCCAGACACGTAAACCTCATAGTCGAAAATATAGATTTTCTTAAAATTTCAAACAGGGAATGAGTATTTTATATGTATCAGAAATTGCATCTATTTTTGCTTATGTATATTTAGGCCATTCAATTCCTACAAGGCAATGCAACAGGCAAAACGAAATGTTGAAAATCATTATGCAGTAATTGGTACTTGGGAGGAGACTAATATTACACTGACAGTGCTGGAGCATTACATACCGAGGTTCTTTGCCGGAGCAACAGAGACTTATTACAGTAATAAACGACATTTGATAATATTTTGTCTGAACATTTATTTAACCTTAAGCAGGGGTCACACGATTTGTACATTTCGGCGGTCACATAGAGTGGTGTTGTCTAAAAGTTTGCATGAGTTCAACTTAACAAAAAAAAAAAACCAACTCTGTTACTGTTAAAATGTACAAAACCTGTAAAAATGTACTAATCGTGTGATCCCTACTTTAGAATGGCAAAAGAACGAATGGAAAATAATATTGGGCGCGTTTCTTTATTAATTCCAAACGTTCGGAATAAAGTTTTATGTTTACTTATTCGTTAGAACGTTCCGGATAATATCGTACCGGTTAATCGAAACGCATTCATTTTATTCCGTATCTAGTACGGAATATATAGAATATTCTGCTGAACAGCTGTTATGTACATAGTTACAAATGTAAACAAGTAAGTTTTTGCAAATTGTTTTACGAAACAACCGTTAGCAAATTAAATTAAATATTAATAACCACCAAAAGGTTATTTTCTAGCTGGTTCCTAAGAACTTCATTCTCTTCTGTTTCTTTATTCCCATTATTCCAGATAAACTACGACTATTTTATTCTAGATCCGGAATGAATAAAGAAACGCGCCCAGTGTTAAAGATTTATGCTTGAAACGCATTGAAGACGATGGGCTACGGGCGCCAGCTGTCAAATTGTTTTAACACGTACTCTTATGTAGATAATTACTGTGGTTATGGCCAGTGTTGTCGCTGTGCAACTAAAGGGGCAATTTGACCCTTTTTAAGGGCCAATACCCTTTGACCCGACTTTTTTTTTTGAAAATTTAGATTTTTTGACTATTTTCCAAAATTATGTGCGCGACTTTTGTCCCTTTTCAGAGATCTTTCCAGGAAATGTTAACAAAACCATGCTATTAAAAATTGTTTCCTCTTGTAAGTACGAAAAAATGCATCACTTAAAACTTTTAAGGGAAATGTAACTCTTCTCGAATTATGTGTATGTTTGCAATCCTGTTTTGTGAAAAGCTTGTCCCACTATTTTATTTTTAAATTTAACAGATTTATTTTTTTACTAGTAAAGAAAAGCAAAAATAAAATGGTACCCCTTTTTTCATCAATGACCCCTTTTTTGGGACTTTCTGAAAACTATCAATGGCAACACTGGTTGTGGCTATATTAGATTTAATTATGTATTTATTTATATTTTTCGAGCTACAGATAAGTTTTTTCCTTTACTTTTATGCCAAATTCATAAAAAATTCATGTTGTCGATGCCACGTTCAAAAAATGTTCAAATGTCGCCATCGACAAAACGTTGAAGATAAAAAATTGGCAGCTGTGACCCGTGGATCGCCGTTTTCAATGTCTTTGAAGTATAAATTTTACCCTAATCGAACTGCCATTCTAGTTTTAATGAAAACTAAGCAGGGTATCATACATGCATACATACCTACAGATTTGGATTATTTCAAGACTTAATTTGGGATAACATGTTATCATAAATACATAAGTAATTAATCATTATTTATGATTTTTAATTTTTTCCCCTTAAAAGTAATAGAAATTATTCTACCTTATCCTGAGTTTCGTCCGAAAAAAATTTACCCGAAAATTTATCATCCGCCCATAGTAAATACATGGAAACCAAAAGTGAAAATGGTTTGACTCGCAAAAAGGTTTTTTTTTTAAGTTAAAACTTTTGTGAACAATTTTAGCTACATAAAATTTTACAATTTAGAGGCCAAATTGCACTATAGGAAAGCTAAAATGACACAAAAACGCCGACACACATCAACCTAATTATGGCTCGCACTTCACGGATCTATATACGGTTTTTCGAGATTAGATATTTTCACTTTAAGTTTGCATTAGGAATGAAAATAATTTAAAATTTAAGGGCTCTATACAGCTATCAAAAAAAAAAGAATCGAAAAATTAATATACTTAAAACGACACACAAGAAATGGAAAGGAAATTTTCTTCTATTAAAATTGATTAAATTAGTTTACAGCTCTCAAGAAAAATATGCTCGTATATTTATTGCTTCAAGAAAATTTATGGCAAAAGCAAAAGGCTTTGAGACATATTTCTTGTGATTTTTCCAGGGCACTGCAGATAGCCCTTGTAACAGGGGAAAATTTGAAAAAAAACATCGTCGTACACGGCGTATGAGTAACATTCTTTCCTGGTCATATTACATACGAAAAATCGTAACTCATTTTCATCTAACCATTCACAACTTTTTTTTTTTTATGTATCCATCGAGTTTCTTCGATAGTAGCTTGATTTTTTTTGGCAAAAGAGCTAAAGGCTGTTTTTTGTTCGCGCATTTTCTTCAAGACAAACAAATGACCGAAAATCAGACAAAAAAATGACCGAAAATCAACGATAAGTCCTAGCAACTTAAAATTTGCACTTCACTACTAAAATTTAATGGGCTACAAAATTGCATACTCAGAATATTTCTAAGAAATCTAATTTAAAAGCTAAAAAATGTTGATGAAACTTTTTTTGAATTTTGTGAATTTTTGTACAATGTGTGACTTAGATGTTTTTTTTGTTATATAATTAGCTATGTATACTTTCATAAAAAATAATAAGCATTAAGTAATCGAAAGGGGAATAGCCATAGATTGCTCAAATATCTCTTCCCTATTTACATATATTTTTGCCTCTGTATCTACAGCTTATATTTTTCATATCCATGCATTTTTTAGGGAATTAGTATTTTTTTTTTTAATTTTACTAAATTCAAGTTGGAATTGTTTTATTAAAAAAACTTAACATATCATTATAAAATAATTTTGACAAGACAAGATGTCTGCAATATAGCGAGAGGCTCCGTTTTGACAGAATAAACTATATCCATAGATCATAGAAAATAAGGACGTTCTTTGTGATAATGAAAGTGCTGCACCCTTTGTACAAAAATAGTTTTTAGGTCAGAGTACAATTTTTAAATTAATTAAGAAATTCGGGTCATAATCGGTATAATTATGAAAAATCGGGACACTCATACGTTCCGCTTTAAAAAAAATATTCAGCGGGACAATGTTCTCAAAATCGGTACTGTACCGCTAAAATCGATACGAATGCACACCGTAGCAGCAATAGGAGTCATAAACTTATACTAATTAGCTTTTCTCCAAATATTGAACAAAAAATAGTTATTCAAAATTATTATCGTCGCTATACTTATTGTCCTAAATACTTGTATGTATGTATGTATGCATATACCTTTGCATATGCAAATAAAAATGTGTTTTCTATAAAACTTTTATTCTAAATTGCAATGATAACACTGTGCGACAGTCGAGCAAAAAAAAGACACGAGTGCGGTATGGCGAACACGATAGATGAAAAGCTCTAGAACATTGAACCACCTGGCGTTTTTTCCAGAGACCGTAACAGCTACAACTTTTATTAAAAGTAATATCGCTCTTTAACAATTATTTTTTGACTTTTATTTAATTACTCCTTAAATAACAGTTATTTTTGATTTTTATTTTATAAATCCAAAATAACAATTATTTTTGATTTTTTATCTAAATAATATGCAACTAACAGTTAGTTTTGATTTTAAAATTATATGTCTTAGATTACAGTTATGGTAGACTTTTATTTATAAGAGTCATAAATAAAACTCAGTCAGTGACTTTTACTTTTAAAAGTCATCAATATACTCAATTACTACCGTTTATTTTTTTGAACAGTTTTATGCGCGATTTTAAAAAAAATTTAGATCAATTTGGAACTAAATTAGGAAAACTTTAATGCACTGTAAAAAATAAATTGGGACTTTTATAATTGCATATCGCATTCGTGTATTTTTTATTCGTCTCATTTTGTTGCACAGTGTGACCTTTTCGTTAATTAGTGGCTTTTTTATGCGATTATTTTTGTTTTATTTGAAATTTCAGAGCCTGAAAATCGTCTGCATCAAGTTAATAGAAATTCTATCAAACCAAGTGTTTCGCAGCAAGTTCGTGAAATATTACATAAAAATCTAACTAATGAAATTGAATTTTATAATTTTTGTAAACAACGTCTTTATAAGCAATATATTGCTATTAAATTACCGAGACATTAAATATTATGTAATTATCGTATGTATTTAGTATAAAATATCATATATTTGTATATTTGTGCATATCGCAAATTTGTTGCAAGACCACACAGCAAAAAACTAATTACTCACTTAAAGAGACAATATTTTATAATTATATAGTTTTAAAAATAAATAGATGACTTCAAATTTAGCTTGTGTTAAAGTTTTATATATGTGACCTGGTCTACGGAAAGGGGGCTTAGGTGTCAAAAAATCAATTTTCACTTTTTGGTTGATTCGGATGGAAGATGGGATGATTTTCACTTTTAACAGCTTTTTCACAGAAAACTTTTTTCGCACGTAAGCTCCCTTTTCGTAGACCAGGTCACATATTGTTAAAATGACAACTGCTTCAATATGGACGCCAGGCAAGTGGCATGCTGCTATTTCGCCTAAAAACTTTAACTCTCGATCAGAGCGTCTTGATTACGAGCCATTTAAAAAGGTTTATGGTCGGACTGAAAGCGTTTTTTAAAGCTTCTCATTTTACATTCTGGGAAGTTTTCAATGCTCTAACCAATCGAATAAAATGTTTACAGGTGGGATGTAATCAAATAGAAACAAGAGCTACCGCGGCCGATAAGATCTTTAGTATCTCTATGACAGTTCTTAACACTGACGGCTCAAAATAATATCCACCTCCCGAATAGATGGAAATAAGTTATCGATAGACGAATTTCTGATACCTACGGCTTCGACTATGGAAGAACTGAGGTATGGACGTCTTACAGCTCAACCAGCCACCGACGTAAAACCGTAGACCGTGTCAGCTGACACGACCTATCTTATGGAATTATCGTGTTAATGAAATCTCATCACTGCATAACGGTGATGTTGTCATTGCTTCTCTCTCTGTCCAACAATAGCAATTTCATATGTTGATGCGGACGGCAAGTACGGAATGGCGCTCCGTCGGTGGCTGGTTGAGCTTTTAGTCTTCTCAATGCCGGACAATCACCCAGAATGTGCTCCGACATCTCCTCCTCTACAAGACAAACTCGTCAATACGTCTTTGTGGATAGAAAAATTCGGTGCATATGAGAGCGCTGGTGGCTCTATGCAAAATATTTGTACGTGAAACGGCCTCACACTTCGGAGCCTAGCTTGTCCCACGTTCCTACATGATAAGACCTTAGCTTTGCCAAAGCCTTTTTTGCGAATTTTGTAGAGTTCGCTTTACAGCCTTTTCAACTGTAAGATGCAGTGGCTCGAGTTCCAGAAATACCTCCAGCAATGCAAACACACGCCAGACAACGAATCTTGATGAGGGACTACCTCACCGTCATCACAGGATGGCTGGAAGCTCAAGCCACTGCCCGATAGGTTACTATTGCTCGTACTGTCATGATCTACATCCACCCTAGATACTTCACTCCCGTGGCGACGCCGACCCCGACCACATCTAAGGTTAAGTTCCTTATCCCCTTGAGAGTTGTTTTTGTTGTTGTTGTAGCGGCTTGAGAGTTCGAAGACGACAATAGCTGTCTTAGAGGTATTAATATTTAAACCGACATCTACGCCCCTGCTTTTTGCTAAGATGTAAGTATGTATGTACATCGCTGTCCATATTGGCCCCGTCTATGCCCGTCGCTATCAGCATCTGCCTCCATTATACAAGTATTTTAGATGAAAAGCGTATCTTTAAAACCCTGATCATGCCAGGAATTTTAATAAAGAAAGCATGCATTCTTTACATAAAAAAATCGTAGAAAGTACTCTAGTTTTTAATATAAATTTTGCTCGATTAAAGCTAGTACTTGTTTTTTGAGTTAAGCGGAATTTCCTCTACACATTCAAATAACAGAAAAGCTGTGTCATTTAATGCCGAGTGTGAATCGGGTATTGTGTCTGTCTGGCAGCAAATGAAAGATATTCATTGGTAAGGAAATAATTCAAGCGAATAAAATTTTGTAGAATTTAGTTATTTTTACCAAGAAAAAATTTATATTTTTTAGAGTTTCCAAACAGTTATGGCTCTTAACTGCAGTTAAACTTTTGGTGCAAATATGCTATAAGGCCGGTAATTCATGCTTGAGTGTTCTTTGAACATTTTAGAAGAGAATTTGAAAACAACCATAGGCTCTCATTTTTATAATGCTGCATTATCTTAAATGCTTACATTTTACAATTTCACTTTTGTGTGTAACTCTTTGGCTTTTAAAATATTTCATACAATGGGTCGTATGAATAAAAACTAAGCTATTGCTTTTTATAAAAATTTCAAACCTTTTACTTAATTTATTTATTATTGAAATAACTTTGATTAAAAGGGGTGAAATTTTAAGAAAAAGCAATTGCTTTAAATTTTATTCATACGGCTCAATGATTTTCCTTGCAAATTTTTCTACTAAAATGTTTGCAAGTAAAATCTTTCAATGTAGTGCGCTATCATTTTGTTTACCCATAGTCCTTACATCTTTCTGTGTTCATCATATATGTACGTAGATATGTATAATGGTGGTAAACCTGTAAACGGTTATGGTTCAAATTAATTAAATGCCTCGAAATCAATGCAAAACTTCATTCTCGCCATTCAATCACTCCCCACTAACAGCGTAGACCACGTATTCGTCATAATGAAGTTCACGCACAAAGCAACAATGAGAATATTGAAGAGCAACGCGAGCAGAGGCATAGTCCTCCGCATCATCATCGACAACGTCATCATCAGCATCGTCGTCAGCAAAATGGAGAGAATGCTCGCAATAATGACGAATATGAAGAATCGCTCGACGATGCATATGAAAATGATGAAAGTCATGAAGATACTCCAGAGTGGGGTATTAGCGCTGACGAATTGAATAATACAAAGAAGGCTGACATAGATATGATATTCTTTAATCGGGTAGCCAAAGTGGGTAGTCAATCTTTAATGGAACTTATGTCACATTTGGGTCGACTCCACGGTTATAAAGCATCACGCGATGCTGGCAAGCGTTACGAAACGGTGCTGTTGGCACCACATCTCCAGCGTGAATTGGCAGTCGAGATTTTAGGAAAGCAAAAACCACATGCCTACTCTCAACATTTGGCCTATTTGAATTTTACGCGCTTTCACTTACCCAGACCCATTTATATTAATTTGGTTCGACATCCTATCGATCGTGTCATTAGTTGGCATTATTATATTCGAGCCGAATGGTATTACATAGATATGAAGGCTAAGTTGGGTGATATGGCACCACCACGACCTTCGGACGAATTCATGAATATGGATATAGATACATGCATAAAAACCAAAAGTATATTATGTACATTCAATCAGGATGAGGCAACAAATGAATCCGGTGATCATCGCCGGCAAACACTATTCTTTTGCGGACAAAATAAAAAATTGTGTATGTAAGTAGCATAGTTAGGCATTTTTTCTTTTGTATTCAAATACATAGCATACCTACGATTGTACGGATGTATGTAGGTGGCAGCACATTCATTTGCATAGCAAAAAGAGTTAGTGTGTACATTAGTAGGGGTCGGACAACATTACAAAAAAAAAAAAAAACAATCTCTGAACTTGCATCAGCATTCGAAGGCCTACAATAGAGGCGTCCAGAAATACTAACTGCATTTAAAATCATAAAGTTTTGCTTGTAAAATGTTTGACTATCGACGTCTTGCTGCAGTGGCTATTGTTAGGGGTACGACAAAGGTAGTACGATTTTCTATAAAGTTAATCTAATCAAGTATTTCTTAAACAGACTAATTTGGGTGCCTGGTCACAGTGACATTGCGAAAAATTGCATGGCTGATGACTTTGCAAGGAAGTGCACTCTTGAAACAGTAGCACCGGATAGGTGTGGCCTCATGTAAGCTCAGCGAGCAGTCGGTAAAAATCGTACATATGCAATTGCAAGATCTTTCTAAAATTTCACTATCACTGACTAATTACACCAGTTTACAAATTTAGGAAAATTTGGCGATCTGTGATATTTAGTAACCATTTCTTTACAACAGATTTGTTAAAAAATGTATAACCACTAACCATATAGTGGTAGTGAAACCAATTTGTCACTACCACTATGCACTTTATATATTTTTTTGCGACCCACTCTAATGTACACACACGCATAGTGCATATGTATTTGTGCTAGCGCTTACCTACACACCTACATATGTATGTATGTATGTATTAATTGTATGAAGTTTATGCGGAAAACGTTAATTTTAAATTGATCATTGTTCTTCTATTCGCTTTTGAAAAAAAGGCCCTTCAATTCCGTTACGGCAATGCAAAAAGCCAAACGAACGGTCGAACAAGAATATGCCGTTGTTGGAACGTGGGAAGATACAAACATAACGCTAACAGTGCTTGAACACTATATACCGAAATATTTCAAACATGCAAAAGTCGTGTACCACAGTAAGAAACAAAAATGAATTTGGCACCTAACAAACATAAAATTTTTTTTTCAAAACATTACAGTGGGTAAAGAACGCTTATCGTCTGTGAATAAGAATCCGGCAAAGCGACCAGTTAGCCAGGAAACGCGTGACATCCTTAGCAAAAATTTCACCAACGAAATTGAATTCTATGAATTTTGCAAGCAACGTTTATATCTACAATACAGCGCGATAAGTAAATTCAACAAAATCGACAATGATGACTATGTTCTATTGCCGCATTATAATAATAATGATGAAATATATAATGAGGATTATTAAATATGTATGTACTATAAGGTGATTCAATAAGACCGCAGATGTTCGTAATAGGGCGATTGTTTCATGCGCTGTGTGGCAACTGACACCCTTCCTGTTTAAGCCATGTGTATATTGTCCAAGTCCATGTCATCTAATTTAGGCCATGCAAAGTTCGTTTCGTTTGTTCGTTAACCGTAACAGAGGCGGAGTCCGCCCAAAAATAACACCAAACAGTGACTAGCTTTAAGTGCATAGTTTTTTCTTGCAGTGTACGCCAATTAGGTGAAAATGTGCCTTAACGCGTTGTTCAACTGAGTATTGGTCCATGACTAAGTTTGCCAAAGTCTGTTGTGCCAATTTTCTACAAAAAATAGAAATAAAAACATAAACTTTCTTATCGCAAATAATTGCTGTCAGAGATCTGCATTCACCTTGAGTCACCCTATTTTTAATATAATTTGTATTAAATTTGATTTGTATTAAATTTTTGTATACACACTTATAAGTACAAGTATTAAATAAATTATAAATTAAAAAAAAAACATGTGTAGTATTTTCTATTACTTTTCTGGAACTCTACTCCGCTTGCTCCTCCTCCTCCTCCTCCTGCTCCTTCCGCTCGCACGTATGTAGATGCTTTCTGCCGCTCGGTTTCGACTTTACTTCCACAAGCAATAACTTTGTTTTT